GTCTCAGGGGTAATTTTTCCACGAGTAGTTGTAAATTGGCTGTGTCCACGGGAGGAGGTGAGTTCAGAGTCTGCCTACGCCGCCATCTTGACTCCTCCAGGATATTCTGATTAAAGAACAGATCAATTATAATTTCTTTTCTTCTTTTGCTGCATGTTATCAGATTAAATAGAAATCTACCAAATAGACTATATGTATAAGGGTCTTGAATTTCATAAGACTCTGTTTTTGTAACTATTTAACAAGAGTGCAGTCTATTTATAATTGGTAACACTGGTGTTTTACATTATATGAATTGATTTTCCCTTCCAGAACATCTACACACTTATGCTTACTGTCTGCATTGTCTTATGTCGTAATAATAATGGTGATAACAATTAGCACTTATTGAGCACAAACTATTTGCTTGGCTTTATGATAAGTGTATCTTCCATTTTGACATTAAGCAAAATAATAGAAACACTAAATCATTTGGTGAATCTGGAATAAACAGAATGCTTGTTTACTCACCTTTCAAATTTAGGAATACATAGTTCATTAAAGAGTGCTTGTCTGAAATGGCAATTTTGATGACAGTCCTACAATTACTTCTCTTTATGGTTGACATAAAGACAGCATGACAGCATGTGGAAGTGGAAGTAATGTCTCAACCAGAGGTAAACTGAATGACACCCAAAAAGAATTAGTGCGTTTATATGCTTTGGTCTACTGGCATTTACCATAGTCACGGTGATGCTATGGAAATTTAGGTTGTTCTTTAAAATAACATTTGTTGTTGTTGTTTGACTAAAGATGAACATAGGCAAGATGTGAGAAGGTAGCAGAATATTAAATATTACATCTCACATTACTGAATATTTATTTTCGTTCCAATACCAGTTTATGTAATGGTAAGATTTACATAACAGAAGCTGAAAAGAAACACCTAAAATTCTCAAGGAGTAGAGTCAAAGTTGAAGTTATTTAATATGAATTGCAGCTGACTGTGTCCACATATAGGAAAAACAAAATCGTAAATAAGGAAAACAGAATATTAAAGAATGTGAGATCTTGATTTAGAGAAAAGGTCTCTGATTTTAACGGAGATATTTTTGCCCTGGGAAGCAGTGAGATAACCTAAGCAATCCAGAATTTGCCATGGCTCCTTGTCATGAGGGTCTCAAAAAGTCTCTTCTCTCAGTAATAAAACAATGTAAAAAGTCCTTGATAGAAAGGAACATCTAAAGAAACTGAAGCAAAAGTAATGATGAAGCAAAATTAAGTACATCTGAAAGCAAAGGAAAACAGCTGCTAACTCGTACTCCAGGAAAATATTATCTTTTTGTTTAATGAAATGATCCAGCAGTAACATTTTTTAAAGTGTTGTCAGAGTGATTTCGCACATAAACCACTCAAGACTTTTCTTTGAGTTACCTGTACCTAGGGACCAATAATTCTCCCTGAGCTATTTTACAAAATCAACCTGTAACGTATTTTTCAATTGGATGAACATTTTCATTGTTTGGAATTATGATATAGAAAGTCATTATTTTTATTATTCAAAGTTCAGAGTACAGAAATTGGCAAAGAAAAAATAATACTTCACTGTTCTTAAAATGACCATTACATTTAATATTAATGTAAATCAAAGAGCATATTGTTTTTCTTATTTATCCCCTTACTGTACAAAATTAGTGATGCTAACAAGTTTAGCACAGTTGGTAAGGTAGGTAGAAAGGTATTTTTTTCAGTCTGCCCATCTAGATCATAACTTCTGGTCAAGAAGATTGAACATATTAGCATTTAACCTCAAACAGGTAATCTTTAATTGAGTGCTTACTATGAGAACTATTGTTCTCAATATTTTACATGAATTATCTAATTTCACCTTCACAGTAACTCTTGGAAGATATGTTATTAACCCCATCTTCCAAAAACTGAGGCCCAGGTAGCATAAGGAGCTCGTCCTAGTTTGCATACCTAGTAAATAAGTACTGTGGCGATGCTTGTGTTTTTTACCTGTCACTGGATGACTCCATGTTCTATGGCTATAGTAGTTATCTTCCTATAACTTCTTCCACTTGATGCTTAGAGCTCCCTTACGTAGTTTCTATGCATTTCCATTTAAAATCTACCATTCTGTCTCCTCCCATTGATTAATATCTCCATGTAATTATCTTGGTTTAGACTCAGCTGGCCTTTTTTTTTTTTTTTTTTTTTTTTTTTTTTTTTTT